TCTTAACTTGTTTAGCTAGAAGCATTTGCTGGAAAAACTGGTGCCGGTAGCGACAAAAACTGCGGGGAGCGACAAAAACTGCAAAAAACGCATCTTCGCATAGGGAGCCCGTGCGTTGGCCAATTATCTTTGCCCGTTATTGTGCCATTAGTGTGATTTCGTAAAGAAGAATTTCAGCATTTTGTCAGCATCCAAATGTAGTGTAACGGAGAAGCTGCATGAAGGAAGTGCGAGCTGGCCACGAGGAGTCTCGCATGAGCGGGGTTCGCCGGCATTAGGCGAGGCACGCTCAACAGTGCGTCGTTCCTTCCTCGGGGCAGTACAGTCTTCCTCGGTCAAATGTCCAATTCTTCTGCTGAATGCAGCGTACGTTTTTATGCATTTTTTGCATCTATGCAATGCAGAAAACGCATAATGACGAGAAGTTGTCTGCGTATGTGTCTGTGTGTGCGCTGGGCATCTGTACCGATTTTTCTCATCTCGAGACCTACAAAACCCACAGGGCTGAAACTTTGGGAACTTAATCTACATGCACGTATAGGCCCCCATTCCCATAATGAGCGCTCTTATCCGCGTGATACCCACGTGCCAGCCCGTGAAAGTTTTTTGCGAATAAATCGCTAACTGGGGAACCAGAAAAGTTAGAAAGCCGAAATTTTAATAGGATGTTCCCTGTCCACGTAAGTCTTAATGAGCTTCAAACCGGTCTCCGAGAATGCGTGGTGCCCACGTACGGGCCCGCCAAAATTTTTTCGAGTAAGCTGCTAACTGAAAAGGCAGAGAAGCTAGAAGACAGGAATTTTAAAGGGATGTTTCACGTCCACGTAGATACTAATGAGTGCAAACCCAGCCCCGGTATGCATGGCACCCACGTGCGGGCTCGTGAAAGTTTTTTTCGGGTAAATTGCTAACTTGGAAACCAGAAGAGGTAGAAAGCTGGAATTTTAAAGGGATGCTTCCTGACAGTCCTGGCGGCCAGTTTCAATTCTTTTAGCTGCAAGCATCTGCCGGTAAAATCGATGCTACGAAAAACTTGCAGGGAAGGTAAGAAATATATACGACTTAATGGACCGAAACATTTCTTACCTAATTTATTATTTCCATTTATATTTTTTCTTCTTTATTCTTTTTATTTTCTTCATTACCTCTTTTTACTTTTTTCAATTATATTTTCACTTACCCTTAAACTATGAAAAAAGCGCAACTTCGCACCGGCAGCCAGTGCACTGGCCAATTATTTTTTTCAGTGCGATAAATATGCAAGATAAAGTGAAGTGTTTCTGTTTATTTTTCTGAATTCATCTATCCTTTTTTCTTCACAAAAAAATGGAATGATAGAAACTTCTTTTCACCTACTTTCTTAACCCATACGGATCTTCTTATTTCGTTTGGCTGCCTCCAAATGATGAAAAAAATAGGGTGGATGGACGGAGGAGAATATCGCGTAATATATCAAATAATGATTAATGGTTTTTTTGTTAAAAACAGATTAAAGACCAACTGCGTTACTATTGTACCCCTGTCCCTGGTTCAAACTTTAATCGCCCTACCCTCACTGAACTTTCGAACTTTGTCCCCTGGGGTATAAAAGCACTCCTCACCATTACCGATTATCATTTACCGACCTCCTCCACCGACCCCTTCTACCGACCATTATTACCGATGTCCACTGCGACTTACTGATATAGACCAATATCTCTGTTCCGGGGAGCTTCGGCTCCCCAGAGCCCCACCTACCTGTGTATTTAACCTTTTCACTCTACTATGTATAATAAACGTGTATATAGGACGCGGCGTGTCACTTACACACACACCTACACACACACAC